CTAGTAACCATGGCATTATCCATATATAATACCCATATATCCAGATATAATACCCATTATATATTATATATATTATGGGGATGATAATGCAAACACAAAGATGCTGATCTTCAAACTGAACCCTATTGTAGAATGGAAATGAAAAGTTAAATCATTAAGATGTTATCCTATTATTTGTCAAATTAGGTACATAAGAGCAGGAAAATTCTTTTCTTTGGGGGGAAAAGTTTTGCCAAGATGTGTATCAAGCTGGCTGGTTTTTTTTTTCCTCTGGATTTTGTGTTTGAGAAAATGATTTGAAAATTAGGGAAAACCAGGATGACTTGCAAACTAAAAATGTCAACTCTACTAATTTTTTTGATGGAAAATGCAGACTTTTCATTTAAGCAATCTCAGAACAATTTTTTTGGACTTGTAAAATTGTTTCATTAACTAATTCAGATTTTCTTCTTCCTTGGAAAATATTAAGGACATCTACATTATGTCCTTTTTGGTAAAATATTGCTATCTGTTTTTCTTAGCCCCAATAGTTTGTCTTACTGCATCAGTATTACGTAGACGATTGAATTTTTCCTATTGGTTAAAAGACTTGGTCATATAAATTTTTTTTCAATACTGACACCTTATAAAGAATACTAGTGGATTTCGGGTTTAGTAAAAGGAGTTCTGTTATACCAAGAGCAATAAGAAATTTGAATTATCATGGATGTCACTGCAAAGATACAATATGTAAAGAATGTTTTTCAATTGCTCTTGCATATCTGGCTTGGATTGGCATGTCTTAAACATTCTTATTCTCTGTGATTCTTCAGGTGTTGCTCATTACTAAAAACCTAGTGAGCTTTAACTAAGTGGTTATTATGACAGTAAAAACTTGAAGTGCTCAGCTATACAGCAGTCACCTACCGAACACAGCCTGTAAAACTTTTTGAGCTACAGATTGAGCTCTAGATACATGATGCCATATTCCCTAGTGTTACTATTATAAGACAGAGACAAACTGCCTTATCATTAACACTGTAAATGAAGAAGTCATATATGAGACCATTAAAGCAAGCTAAGATTCATATAAACCTTTTTTTACTACTTTTAAGTTTTCTGTCTCTGTTTTGAGGTAGTGGTGGAATTTCAGACATTTCCTCTAGGATGTGCTGCTGACTGTATCTGAGGACTGGTGTTTCTGCCAGTCATGGGTCTATAAGCTCTGTTAAAAATAAGACAAATGACAACACCTGCATTTCCCAAGCTGTTAGACAGAGATAGGCATTGGTTTGGCTGCTAGTCCACATATCCAATAGCAAGATTTGTGACTCTTCTGTCAGCTTATCTGAAGGCATGCAGTGCATTCCTCAATTTGATTATTAATAAGGCTATCCTGAGCATAAAGTACAGCAGCAGTAAAGAACAGCCTTCTTGGGAGGGAACATGACACAATATGCTATAACAACTTTGTGGTTTGTCTCCCAGTATTAAGCCAGTGGATTTATATGACATTGTCTTTAAAAATACTCAAAGTTTGAGTTTCTTTTTGCTATTATTTGCATACTCAGCAACAAATATATGAACATAATGATAAGTCCAAGGCAGTTTAAAGTTACCAAATAAGTTTCTACTTACTTCTTATGCAGCAATGGAAAAAGCACCATTTAAAACTTCCCATTTCTGTCAATGCTTGAACTCATTTATGTGTCTTTGCTGAGCATCCTGGAAATACTGGACACAGACTTCCAAGTAAGCATATAAGGTCTCTCCATCTAGAGAATGAAGATCTGTTTTTTTACTGTATTCTGATATTCAGAATGCAAATGTGTGTCTGTCTAAGCTTGTGCTCTGCTTAGTGTGAGTTCAATTTAAACTGTTTAGATGTTCAATTAAAAAATGATGGTGCCCCATGGGCAACATTAGGTTGGCCAAAGCTAACAGCTGTATTCACAACTGAGGAGCCTGGCATTTTCATTTTACATATTAGTAGGACGTGGCACACTTTTGAGAACCAGTTGATTTGAGTCTCTTAGTGTGAAGATGAACTCACAACTGCCATCATCCAAAATATTTAACTATTAATATTTAACTATTTCTTCCCTGCTCTTTGAGCAGAGAGATGCAGAAGTAGCATAAAACTAGAAGGAAAGGAACCTAGTGGAAGTTGGACAACCTAAAGGTTGGAAAACAGCTAAGAAACTTCAAATACATAGTCTAATTTATATTCCTCTATGGTTCTTATTTTTAATTCAATGTCTACCTAATGTAAAATATGAAAATATTCAGGAGCAGGAATCAGAAGATATGTTTTCCTTCCTCCTAGCAAAATATTCTAATCATAGAACTACAGAAACGGGGTATTCTACCTCTGTTTTCCTTAGGAATGGAAATATACTCTGAAACAGACAGACCATATGCTGCAATATTTTCAGGGGGTACATTTATCACAGGGACAGAGAACTAGTGAGTGAAGGAAGAAACCACTGAATGGTGCATATGGGCAGTCATACATCATTGCAGCTTACAGTGAATGGAGGCTTTGTCGTCTTTATAAAATTGTTTTACTATGTGATAGACTGTCACTAACATTAGGAATTACCTAGATATGAGAGATCAAAATAAAATTTCATTTTTATTTTTTCTTGTGCTGAAGAGTAGTGGCTGCATATTTGACATAGAATTCCCTATCTCAAGAATTTAGGTATGAAAAATAGAGGAATAAAGAAAGGAGACTACTGAGCTTCAAACGCGTTGAAATTACAGAAGAAATCTTCCAATTTAAAAATTTCAGGAGAATAAAGATACTGTAATGTTTATTTTTCCTTGTTAATTCATTGTAGTTTAAGATTTTTTTTTCACAACTGTTTGTGTAATACTGTTTTATTAAAACATATTCGAATAGCTCCCTTTCAGATGTCTTAGGAAAGCCTATGAAATCTATCTTAATTTCCGTTATGTTTATGGAAATATCTTTCTATTGTCTCTGGAAATCTATACTTATAATTTATTATTTAATTTTTAGATTTCTGCAGCAATTTTTAATTATTCTTCCCAAATCAAAATAGTATCCTCCTATATGCCACAGCTGGAATTGCGATGTTTAGATTCTGTAAGTCTCAGCAATGCAAAATCTTGTCTGTCAGAATACCTCTCCCTGAACAGAACACTTCATTAACTTCAAAAGCAGTAGGTTACCTTTCATGTTAATATTCCATCACTGTGCAAATAAACATGTGATCTTTCTCAATTTTGAAGTGCACTGAGCTTATATTTACCTGAGTATTATCCAAGTTTCTTTTGCTTAGCTTCTGAAGTATTGTTCATATTGTTTACTGATTATATATACATTCTATGCTCAATTCATTTGGACCATTTCCCTAGATTAATTTTTCTTAAGTCTGCCTTTACCATCATTTCCTCATTCCCAGTTTTAAATGACTAATGTTTAAATAATTATTAGTCACATCTTTTCTCAGTGGTTAGGACTTGTGCTTTTAAATTAATACTGTATGAGCATCTGTCCCTAGGGGCTCTGACTGGGAATTCAAGGGCTCAATTGCAGGAAAAAATTTAACACCTCCATTCTGTAATGAGAAATGGGTTGTAAGAGGCAGGAGATTTATAAAACTGAAATGACTTTTATATTTAATACTATCAGTAAATACTACCTACACAGTCTTTTTGATTTAGAAAAGTTTATCTACTTGATTACTCACAAGACTATTCAAAAACTGACTGTAGTTTGTGAAGTTGTTTGACTCAGTTGTATATTCAGATTCTGGGAGCTTCTTGCTGAGAAGGTAGTGATGTTGAATATTATTTTTTTTTAAAGAAAATACAAAGCCAGGTAGGAACATTACTCAGGAAATGAATAAATTCAAGGCAGGAGAGAGTGAATGAATAACATTTCTCATGAAGGCACAATGTCTGGCTTGTAATTAATGATCCTGAGATGATGGCCATTGGTTGTCCATTAGTATTGACAGGTGCTGTTAATATGAGGACTGAAGAGACCATCAGGATGCTAGTCATTTTTCTGAGGCATTCCATGTCACTACAGTAGGGACATATCTTCAAATTACTTTTATTGTCACAGTAACCTTGGCCTTCACAGACCCAAGAATAAATTATATTACCCCAAAGTGTATATAAATTTACATTTCATGGGCAATGATATGTCATTAATGAGAAAAGCTGAAGCACAGCACGAATGTATTTACTTCATTTAAGATTAAGGTCTGTTCAGAAAGGTTGGTTCTAGAAATGATCTATTATTTGGGGCATGTCCTACTCTGGTAGCATGCCTTGTTTGGAGATGCTGTCATCACATGAGAGAGGTTATGCAGGACGCAATTGCTTTGACTCCTGCATTTGCTGAAGTTAGCATCCACATGCAGCTCAAGGCAAAAGAGCAAAATTTGAACCTTTTACTCAACATGTTTATCAATTCAATCAAACAGTCTTGCTAAAATACCTATACCTCTTAATTTCTGGAGACAAACTGAGGCATCCCAGTTTCATACACCTTTGTGTGTTGCATTTCCAGTGAACTGTCCAGTTCATTATAGATGTATCATAAGTCTAGAATAGCAGAAAAGAAAAATCCAGAAATCTTCCTTCTGCCTGCACACGCAAATAGGTAGTGGCAGATCTGGAAGGGGTAAATGTGTTCATTTCAAGCTTAACTATGTAAAATAATTAAATATTCTTCATCTCCCTTCTATTTTGCTTCTCAATAGTGTGGTTAGTGTACATTGCCACACTTTTTTAATTCACAATAGTAAAATGAATATTGTATGGAAAAAAACCCAAAACATTTCCTTAAGGTTAGTTCTAATTGTTGCTGGTTTAGTTATTGTTTGGCTAGAACCTCACCAAAATCATGAGTTACACTCTATGAGGTCTATTAAGTGAAACAATTCAGGCTGATGAATCCAAAGCATGATTAAAGATGTTACTTTATGCTCTTTTTGCTTACTTGTGGTTTGTTTTGTTCTTTTGTCTTTGTTGCACTCCAGGAGGCATTTTTGAGTGTGTGGAATCTGGTCCAATGGGAGCAGAAGAATTAGCCTTCAGATTTGCTGTGAACACAATCAACAGAAACAGAACTCTTCTGCCAAACACCACATTAACATATGACACTCAAAAGATAAATCTCTATGACAGTTTTGAAGCATCCAAAAAAGGTAACCTTTTGCATATTTCATTTTTTTAATGAGGAACGAAGACTCAGTTTACCTACCTGAAAAAATGTCTATCCAATGAAGCCATATGCAATGAGACTGTGATATTATTGTGCTGACATTCAGGAACTGCTTTATTGAAGGCTGTAATGGTAACTGCTTGAAAATTCCGTCATCACTTTTGCTCCCATTGACCCTATCTAAAAGCTATTTCCTTAAATATTTAAAATCTGAAATAAATTTTGCTGAACAATGTATTAGGATGTTTCTGAGACCAGCTCCTTTGGAGTGAGAAAGCAGTATCTCCAGACTTTACTGAGAAAAATGTCAAGTTCCTCCAAATTCTAGTGAACCTGGAATTCAGGTTTAGGCATTCAATGACTTTAAGTACATCTCCACAAATGCCTTTATATAGTTAATCATGTATGGACTTCAAAAGGAAAGAAGTAGTTGCAATTTTGTGCATCTTATGTCAGCATAGCATAAAAGTAAGGCTAAATATCAAGTCTGTACAATATCACTATCAGGTGAATGTCTAGCCTGAGTTCAACCATTTTCTCTCTAAGTATAAAGGATTTGTTTAAAGAAGGATTAGAAGTTAAAAGTAATTTTGAACATTTTTGCTAAATTTTTCAAAGTTTCAAATCTTTGATTCCCAAAAAAATCCAAGTTTTCAGACTGTTTTACATTCAAGTCAATGTCAACAGACAGAAGTTGTTCTGCCTCATTGCTGTATTCTAGGAAGTGCAAACACCAAAAAGTTCAATATGTATTTGCAAGACACAATACAAAGCCTGGTGTAAGACTGAATTTTACTCTGTATTATGTGTTCTTTAAAAATATTTTTTTATAAATTGAAGAGCTAATAGCATATGAATGTTATCCCTAAAAAGAGAATAATAAAGGTGAAAGAACTGAAGGTAAGCCTGTGCTTCTTATGACAGGTTTTTAGCCTAAATTTGCTAAGTGATCTGGTCCCAACATGCCTTTCCCAAGTATTGAAGACTGAAAACTTTATACAATAAGGGATTTTTATTGTTATAGTGAGCTAAGAATAAAAGCATTTGATGAAACATTAGAAACGATACATAATTAAACACTGCTGCTGATGAATGCAGAGGAAATGGAATTTAATACTGATTAAAAATTTCAGTTTAGAACTTATGGGAATTTTTATTCTCTTTTATTATAACATGAAGAGTTAATCTTTCTAGTCTTGTTTTTAGGCATGAAAAGAGAAAGTGTTCATATTTGTACAGAAATACACACAGTTTGGTCATTGAAGAGGCTTTGATTTATGAAAAATACTGTAGGCTAAATATTTATGCCTATCAAGACGGTTTCTTGCAGAAGTGAGTATATGGTAGAAGAAAGAGGCAAACCCCCACTTTTAATACTGTATTTTTGAGTTGTTATTCCAGTGTTTTGCATGTTTGATTAAAGTGGGTTCTGAGAGAGACTACTCTGTTCTTTCCATCTCAGTCAACAGTGAAAAAATGGGCGGATCCTTAATTCTACCCCCTTCATTCTCCTTTCCTTCTCACTCTCCAAATTCATATGCTTCCTGAATCCAACACATGCTAGCCTGTGAAATATAATGAAACAGTTTCTTGCCATTCCTGAGTGAGGATGTAGAGAGCAGAAAAAATTCTTCTGAGATATTTAATTCTTCAAGTCTTTCCTGAGGCAATGCAACAAACTACTTTTAGCCCTTAGTTAGGGTTTGCTAGTCCTAATATTATGTTGCTAATTTTTGTTAGACTATAATAGCTGAAGTCAGAATGGCAACATGCTATTGATTAGATATATTGAATAGATTGCATATATTCATTTTTCCCACTTGCATCTTAGATGAGAATGTAGCTCTTTATTTGTTACTGATCAGGCTGTATCAAAATCTGTGTAATCTTCCAGTTCTAATAGCTTTTTGCTTCATCAATTCACACACAGAAAACTACCTTTGTGCTCACAGGCGCTTTAGTTCAGAATCGAAGGGTAAAGGTTAACATAAAATGGTTCATTTTATTATGATGGCTCCAAAGCAGAGTTTCAACAATGAGGTTTGAGCATTTGACTCATTTTTGTGGTTCATTATTATGCCCATTAGTGAGCAGGCAGGTGCTGAATCAAAAATAGCCTATTTAGACCTCTTAGAAACACATACTTTCGAAGTTGAATATAGATGAACTATTAATGGGTTTTTAAAGGTACTATATGAAAGAACAACCTGAAGGCAAGATGATATTCCAAGATACTGTTTAACTGAAGAATAATGTAAGTGCAACAAAATATCCCTCAATGTGCTAGAAAAATTGGCATGCTCCTGAGAGAACCAGTGCTATATTAAATCACGTGTGAAAGCATTGCATTATTCAAATCTCAGAAACAGGAAAAAAAAAGCCCATTGAAAAGCCATCTGGTAGCTATTGCTGTTGTTAGTGATCCCATTTACTGACATTTGCATAAAGCTTGTTGATTACTCTTAGGAAGGGCAATATTAGCATAAATGTTTTTTTTATCAGGCTAGTCATTTAGGCAACACACCGAATAGCAATGGAGATCCTGTGTGTATGAGAGGTTCATTTAAACCATTGGTGTTCTACAGTAATAAAAAGGTGTGCCAGCATAATTTCTGGAATCCACTTGAAAGACAGCAATATTTTCATCAAGTTGAAAAGAATGTGCATAATAATAAAATTAATTTTGAATTGCTGAGAAAAGTGATGCAGCAAAATGTGTTTCTACTGCTTGTTTCCTCAGCTGCTAGGAACAGTGGTGGTGGAGTAACAGTATTAATTAATCAAACCTCATACAAATACTTGCACCTAGTTTGTATTAAGGAGATACTTCTCATTACTTCTCCCTATCAGATAAATTGCTTTCTTAGAACACAGAATCTGTTGTTTTTCAGAACTGCATATTCATAAAGTTTATGCCTATGGTAGTGAATGACATAGGAGCAGGGTATGGGCTGAAACACTGGTCTCCAGTGTTGACTGTTTTTTCTTGCCTTCTTTTTGGTACATCCTAACTAATATTTCACAAGGTGATACTGGAGATAACACAGACCAGAGGCTGGCAAAGAACAGTACAGTTAGAGACAATCTGTATCAGAAAGTGGATAGCTAAGCTGTTTGAATGCAACGATATCATGCCAGTGATTCTCAGGGCCAGTTTTATGTACTAGTACAAGTGTAGCAAAACTGAGCATCTCCAGTTTTTAAGCAGGGACGCTGAACTTTTTCCACTAGCAGACAGCAATTTAATTTTAGCGAAAATTTTGGCCTTTAAATTTTGGTAGTCAACCTGACTCCTTTCAAATACAGAAATTCAAATGTCCATTTAAATGAAACTAATCACGGGCCCTAGAAGCTACTTAACATGTAAAATTTCTGAGTAATTAGGATCTCAGTAGAAATAGTGTTGATTGATCGAGGAAGAGGTTCACACTTAAACTAGATTAGAATAGTGTCCTACATGGCCATTTTCCAAGTGTAAGGTGCAGCTGAGCATAAATCTCTTTCCTTGTCAGTGCTTTTTAAAAGACACAATTGTTGGCCTTTGTGACTTCCACTGATCTAGAAGTGTTTATTAAATATAGTTGAGTGCTTTTTAAGTGTTAAGTGTTGATATTTATCACTTTGTAGTGAAAGCTTGGAAATGTATTCTGAAGTTGAAATCTGCAAGTGAAAGTGTTACACAGGAAGGGAACTCTGTCAGTAATACAGTTGTATTTCATGGAGTGCCTTTTGTTTAATATGAATTGTGCAATACCTTCTGGCACACTGCCTTCTTTCCTCTCATCATTGACAGACTTCTGTCTCCTCTTCAGCCTGCGATCAGCTGTCCCTTGGGGTTGCAGCCATCTTTGGACCATCCCATAGCTCCTCAGCTAATGCTGTGCAATCCATCTGCAACGCTTTGGGTGTTCCACATATCCAGACCCGCTGGAAACATCAGGTGTCAGACAACAAGGACTCCTTCTATGTCAGCCTTTATCCAGATTTCTCTTCACTCAGCCGTGCCATCCTTGACCTTGTGCAGTTCTTCAAGTGGAAAACTGTTACTGTTGTTTATGATGACAGCACTGGTAAGGCTAAAGCATTAGACTATGTTCAGATGTATTCCCATGTACAAAGAGAGGGAGGAGGGGTGTCACTACTCATATTTCATAATTTAAGAAATCTTAACTAATTTACAAGAATTTCTATTGAAACCAGTATACAACAAATAATGTGGATTTATTAGCATAAGTATTTTCAAAAGTGTGCTTCAGTTGCTGAATTCTGTGTGTTTGAGCTCACAGCTGTCAATAAATTTGTCACACTCTATTTGTGTTTTCTGCAGTGTCCTAACAGTTGCTAACACCTTTTGAATTTATTTAAAACTTAAACTTGGAAGAAAAATATGGTAACTTGAAAGATATACTAGTATGCCCAGTGAAATAGAAGACCTATATTCTGGTGCTGCTTCTGTCATTGGTTAAGTTAGAAAACAGATACCATATTTGTTTAGAGTTTCAGTGTCTGCTTTTTGAAATAGAATTGAAGGAGGAGGCTTGGTTTTAGCTGCTAACAACTGAAACCACGGGAAGTTTGGAGGCTTGTTTTGCAGATGAATTACAAGAGTTAAAAATCAATGTCTGCCTTTCCAGCAGAATTGTACCAGTTTGCTTTCTTTCCCTTAGTCATGCTAAAATTTGTTTTACCCTTCTATTTTACCTTGGCAGTGTCATCTTTGAAAAGTACTGTAAAACTTAAATTCCATTTAAGTCTAGTGGTGGTCAGAACTAAGACCTTGGTTAAGAGGAAAATCTGATTGTAATGGAAGATACAAGGAAGATACTTAGCCAAAGATATATTTAATCTTCTTGGAAATGTTGCTAACTTCTCCCATGCTGGTTGATCCATCATTACCAGGAAAAGAGCATGGTGATCCTCCAACCCTTCTCATGGTTCAAGGAACTGGAAAACTGTTGATGTCCTCATTACATAATGCTATTATCTATCCAAATCTAAAATAAAAGAAAATTAGATCAAGAAACAATGTGTTACCTGTTAGGGTACCTGTATGGGAGACTAACTCTGCTAGATAAACAGCAGTTACTACTGCAGGACAGAACACCCGCCTACTGTTCAAGCTCAGATAAGACGCGTTTATGGATATCAAAAGGTGAGGAGGGAGCAGAGAAGGCAGTGTGTAAACGTCTTTATAACCGATTTTTTTCTTTATGCTTTTTAAAAAAATGCAAGGCAGTGAAGCTTAGAGACTGCCTCCCTAGTATGTTGGCTGATGTAACCAAAAGCCTCAGGTAGTCAAAGAGATTTCAAGTTTAGCTTTACAATATGTAATATGTAGCCTGTTTCTTATTTTTAAAATTTTTCTATCATTGTTCTGAAATAGGAAATAAGTGAAAAAAAGCCTCAAATTTTAATCATATGATGACTGAAAAAAAGTAATTTTTGTTTAGTGACAGTTATTGACTTAGGTTTACATAAATTGGAAATATTTCCCCTTGATTAAAATAGTTTGGAGGCTAACTATTTTTTCCAAAAAAGTTACCTTTTAAAACAGTCCTTTCAGTTAGAAAATTCGTGTTTTAATACCTTAAAACTGCTTTGCTCAATATTTTCAAGTAATTCTCTCCCCTTTCTTCCATTTGACCAGTGATTCCCTAATGTAAGATAGATAATTCCCTCTCCTTTGTTTCTCTTTTAATCACCCACATTTTACACTCCTTTATTGAAAGGTTTAGGATGATAACACATGCCTTATTTTATGATGACTTTAGTGTTATGGATTTCATTTATCTGAATGGACAATTCTCTAAAGGACGTCCTTGTCAAGACAATAATATGTTGGTATAGCAGTTACAGCAATAATTGCTAAGACTAATTTTTTTTGGAGGGAGGGATGGTGGTGTCATATTTGCTTTATGTATTTCTATTATTACTTTATAAACATGGATACAAGGGGAAATGATGCCTTTATTATAGACAGAAAGAAAAGGTAGAAAGCATGCATAAAATAGGTTGGGATTTTTCTCGAATAAATTGTGGAGATCACCCATATACTAAAAGGTGGATTCTAGGTCCACTCTGAGCGAAAACATGATTTCATTAGTTTATTTATTTATTTATTTGTACTTTTTAGTATGTCTTTTTACCTTTAATTTTTAGGCCTCAGTTTTATGAATTCTCTAAGGAATTGTTAAAATTTTATAATAATAAAGGACAGATACTTCATCCACTTCAAAGTATTCTAAAAAAAAATTTTTGTCAATGTTCTTCATTCCTTCAGTATGGGATATATCGTCTTGAGTAAACACAAATGGAAAAAGCTGTGTGGTTATTTGACAGTTTGTAGTCAGCAAAAGCCCATGTTAACTCCAGTGTCATTTGCAGAGATACACTGGAGACTGATACTTCAAGTGCACACTTCAGCTGCCTCTTGACAGCACCATTGTGTCCAACAATATGCAATTTCCCATGCCTCTATCTTGTATGAAGACTGTGACTGATAGACAGCAAAGCATTTTTCTGCTACTACGTGACTGTAGATGCAGTCTTCTTTTGTGGTTTTTTTGTATCTTTAAACCCTTAGCGTAGCTGCCTTCAGAACATTAATATGAGATGTCCCTGTCTGTGATGGGGGTTTTGGAACTAGATGAACTTTAAGATCTCTTCAAACCCAAACTTTTTTATGATATTATGAGATGTGTAAAATACATTGCCATTACTTGTATTTGGTGTGGATCCAATTTGAGCCGAGACTGCATGGTATGAAGGTGGTATAGTCAATCCTTGCTTAGAGCCCAGTTGGAAATAAAAGAGAAAATTTGGAATCCCAGGCTCCCTTTGCAATAATCTAAGAGATTACCACTAAGAACAGCCATTAATATGTTGTCTTGCTCCTTGAAGTATTCTCAGTAGAGGAATAGCTGTGCATCTCACTATTAATTTGAGAAAAGATATAAGTGAGTCGCTATTGTAGGTAGCAACTAGACCCTGTCCCAAGCTTTATGATGCAGAAATGGTTAAATCAGAGAAGATTAATCTATGGACTCCAGTTATTGCTCCTCACACCAGTCTAAACCTCAGAATACTGGGTTTTTCTGTGCTGATCAGACCTACCTCGTGTTCAGGAGTCTGTAATGAAGAATGCAGGATAACTTGGCACAGGAGAAAATGGAGGTAGTGTCAGGCTGAAACAGGTACAGAGATGCTTCTAGAGTGATATGATCAATAACAGTGGAGTGAGTAAAGATCAGGTTGAGTACGGTGTAATGAGGAGGAGTTAAGACTGTACAAATACGATTAAGTAGATAAATAAACTAGAAAGGTTAATTATATTTTGTCTCAGTAAGTAGACACGCAGTCTTTTACAGTGGAGATATGATAATAGAAATAAAAATGAACATATAATGGCCAAAGGTGTTAATAATTCGATAAAGCCTTCTGACCTGGTAGTATTTTATGGAGTAGGTATTGTGGCACTAAGTATATGAGTCTTTTCTTTTAGGGAAGAAAAATTGTGTGAGATCCTTTTTGTGAATCTGTGTTTTAATAATCCTGCACTCACTATTTTTTTTTTGCATTAAAAATGGCTACATTCTGCTTCCTTCTATGATTTAGTTTGCCTTTTTTTAAAACTCTCAAAACTTTTTTTTAATGTAGTCCATTTGTTGTACAGACCAAAGAATTGTAATGAGGCTCTAAAACACTTTTCTTGCTAGTCTGAAGATAAATATTGTTTCTCGTGATAATTCTAAATGACAAAGTATATTCCTTTTAACTAGGATTTCATGTTTAAAACAAACAAACAAACAAATCCAGTAACTCAAAAAATCTCCAACCAACCAAAAAAAACCAACAAACCCAATCTGAAAAACTCCTAGCAGGATACAGTGAGAGGCTGGTTACTTTTTTCCCTTTAAAGTAATTTGGAGTCTCTTTGTTAATTAAATACTGTCTCTTTGTTAATTAAATACCACTAAACTATCCCTGGATACTAATTAAATCCTTTCAGATTTAAAGATTTGCTACAGTCAATTGTCTTTAAGAAAAAAAAGTGGAAAAAATGGCAATATGTTCATCAGCTACATGTCCTAATGGATTAAATTGATCTCAAAAGAGTAACTTAATTTCGAATATATATTCTAATTTCTGTGCTAAAGAAAACAGACCAGACAAACTGTAAATAAGTTTGTGAATCTCAGAGAATTTAAAAAAAAGCAAAAAGAATACATGAATATTTAGATGATGGGGCTTTTAAATTATACTGGCACTTGTATAGATATCAATATATTGATACTTTTATATATCAACAGAACAAGTTGATATAAACAGGGTTCTGGATATTTTTTCTTAATTAACTTTTGTTTTGGTCTTGGGTGAATGAATATAAACGCCAAAAATCTGTTACATCTATGAACAGAAGCCAAAGTAAAAGCTGAAAAAAATTATTTCAGAAATAAAAATGTTTTGTGTTGGTCTTTAATATTGAACCCTGTGCTATAATTCAAATGAAGGAAATTGAAAGATGTCATTTTGTTGATATTTTTACTCTAGTATACAGGTAATGATTTGTAAATAAAGCTGCAATTTCTTTCATGGGACAGTATTAATTTCCATTACCTAATTCCCACTGTATTTAGCACGGTGGTGTCACCTTGAGTATTGTGTGCATTTCTGGCCCCCACAATTTAAAAATAATGTTAAGGTACTTGAATATGTCCGGAGGAGAGCAACAAAGCTGATGAAAGTGCTGGAAGGCATGATGATCTAAAGACTTTGGGCTCGTCTAGTTTGGAGAAAAAGAGTTTAAGCAGCGACATTGCTCTTTACAGCTTCCTGAGGAGATGAAGTAGAGAGGGAGGTGCTGGTCTCTCCTTCCTGATGTCCAATGACAGGACATGTGGGAGTCACTCAAAGTTGCATCAGGGGAAGTTCAGACGACATTAGAAAACATTTCTTTACTGAGAGGTTGGTCAAACACTGTAATAGGCTTCCTAGAAAGGTAGTCGATGCCCCCAAACCTGTCAGTGTTTAAGAGGTATTTGGACAATGACCTTAACTTGCTTTAACTTGT